AGTTGAATTTCACCATACCAGATCTACTTTTGCTACCTTTTAAAATGGAAATCTTTTAAATTCAGGGATATTTATATATCTGGGGATGTGAGGTATGAAAGTTTCACTCCTGAAGTGTAACACAACTGCTACATTTCAGAATAAAGAAGAAAAAAAGTTGTTACTCATTAAATATAACACCTTTTTATTTTAGGAAAAACTATTTGTTGCTGCTGCAGAAGTTAATTGGGTAACTAGAACCTTCCCGCATTTCTGTATCAGACTATTTCTTCTAGTCCTGTTTAAAGTCACACTTGTAATTATGTGTGTGACGATTCTGATAATTTGTCTCTAAGTCAGGAGTCCAAGCAGGCCTCAGGCCAGCACTGACAAGACACACTAACATGTCAAGTTTTATTACTGATGCAGATGTATGATCCCACTCTAATGGGTAAGTGTCCGTATTACAAGAAGTATCATTGTAACTGGCAGATATTTGAGATTTAGCCTCAGTGACTAGAAGGCACCCTGCAGCCTTCTCACACCCCAGATTCACAGGTAAGGCTGCTCTAGGGATCCAGAGGTGCATTGGCATTGCTCTTCATGCTTCACTACTGCAAACACATCGCTACCACCAGACCTGATCATTCAGCACCTTCTGAACTATGTTTAGATGGAAATATAAAGCTCTACCTTTCATATCATCTACCTTTTTTCACATTACCTTGGCAAACTTTCCAATTTATGTCCAGATATCATTTCTAGATGCTCCTCCTAAGGTATTTAGCCTGGCAATAGGATTGCTTCCAGGTAACCTTAAAATCTGGTTGTCAATCATCCTGCCAACCCAAGGACCTTCAACTCATCACAGCCAGCAGTGTTTCAGATTTCCATTTTTTACATTCTTCAGTAAACCTGCCTCCTGCAGATTTTTGCTTCTAATGTTTGTTTACTTCACAGCTTATAAACAGTTTAGGTCTGATTCACAGTTCCCCTATGACTGGTTCACACTGGAAGGTAAAGGGAAGCTAAAGTGCCAGAGGCCTGAGCATAACTGAGAATTCAGGCTTTCATTAGAGCATAATTTGAGTCAGAGCTTTCCTGTTCAGCTGTCTGATGGAACAAGATTCCCCTGTAACAGCTGCCAGAGACACCTAGAGAGCCATGTCTTGTGTCATAACTTCATATTTAACAACAGCATTTCCAAAGGTCTAGCAACCCCGCTCCCCAACAGATGATGTTCATTATCACAGCAAAGATCTATGTATTGCTTTCATCTAGCACATCTTCTCCAGTCCTATTTTCTTCCACAGAAATAACTGCTGGGCATAGCTAGAGCACATGCATTAGTCTGATTTATTTTCAGAAAATATATCACTCATTATGCTGATAGCAGCCAGCATAAACTTTCAGAAATATTTTTAGGTGTCAGAAATAGGACACAATTTAAGGAGAGGAGATGTGGGAGAGTAGGAGGAAGAATGGACTCCAAAAAACAACAGAGAAAAAAACCCCAAAAAACCAACTGCTGCTTACAGTATGATATAGTCTGTGTTTCATGTTAAACTGGAGCTAATGAGAATTAATGGGGATCACTTAAAACTAATGATTAAACAGTGTACACATCATTACCTTTCTTGTCTTTGTAAGACTTTTCATGTCACTCCAGCAGGTTGTTTTTGCTGAGGAGGATAGAACTGTAAGGTAATGGCGGTAAGTAATTATTCCTTTTCTTTTTGGTTTTGATGGGTTTTTCCTAAATCTTATGGACTTAGCTGCTGCATTAATTTGATTTTCTTCTTTCCATGTTGTTAAGAGGGGAAATGAGACCAAAAAACACCCACATTTGACGGCAGAACTCTCCTTGAATTGGAGTATTTCCTGCCATAGCTGCTCCCCTCGTCATACATGCAAGTGGAAAACTTACTCTGAACAAACTTCTTGTTTGTGGTTTTTTTTTTTTTTTAATTTAGTATTTCAATCAAGTGACAGGCACTTTATCAGCAAATAAATGTCACGTAATTAAGAGTCTGCTTCAGCTACTGTCCTTTTAAGCAAAACTTCCTCTCACATGTGGTTGACAGGCTATCTTAATCCTTGGTTTGTAGGTATAACCTTCCATCTCAGTTTGTAAAGCCAGCAAGCAGCTTTTGACCTGATTTCCCTTCTTTGTTGGAGGTAGACGTTACAGTAACATGATATAGCAACTACATTTTTAAAAACAAAATCCAAGGTCAGATGGCTGTCACCCAAGGTTAGGAAAAAAGAGACTCAAACGGTGCTTGACCACCAAGGAAGAAAACCTAAGGGTTAAACGTTCAAATTATACAAACCTTGGCAGGAGGGATTTTATTGTTCTTGTTCTGTTTTCACAAGGAGCACAGAATATTTCTGTGAGAAATAAACTTACATCTTTTAGAGCATGTTGTAAGTATTTTTGCAAGGGAAATCGGTTATTTGGAGGCTTCAGCCACCCAAATTGGCAATTTATTTTCAATTTGTCTCATTTCTTAGTCTGCAGACTGAACTCTAACACATGCAGTCAGTCACTGCAACAAGAAACACAGAACAACTCAGTAAGGATCTCTTGAGTTCGCTAGAGAAAAAACTCTTTGCAAGAAGGTTGCCAAGAAATCAACAACACCAGAAGACAAGAAGAAGAACAGCTGAGTCTCATATTCTGGGCTATTTCACAAATAGCCTAGCAAAGCAAGGTATTTAGACCCCAGCAGTCCACAAAAAAAAAAAAAAAAAAAGTTAATTTACACAAGTATTCAAATGAAACTAAGCCTGCAAACAGATAACTAGGACCTTCGCTTGATTTTTGCAGGTGACATGCAACCTTTATAAGGTGCTGAGGTTGTTAAAGTTTTGGAGACTAACTAAACTTATTTGTTCTAGCAGTACAAGCTAGAAAGCAAGGAGGCTGGAAACACTAAGCAATAGAAAATGTCAGGAGTGTGATAAACAAATGCAAGTTCCTACAAGCACTCTTTTGTCAGAAGACAGTGAGCGTGGAGCCTAAAATGAGTTGCTTTGGCCTCAGGAGAGGTAGGGAGAGATTCAATGATTCAGTGCTTTTCTTCCAGACACGGTCCCCACAGCTCAGCGGAAACAGTTTGAATCCTACCCTTCTGTATGATGGATAGTCCCCCAGCAAACAGGATGGTTTGCCTGAGGCCAGGCAATCTGTGCCACTAAACGGGAAGCAATCTGTTGAACAGAGTGAGAACAAATAGATAAAACTCTCTTGCTATGAAAAGGGGTGATTGAAAATAGACATGAGAGAGGTCCATTAAATTTGATGCAGTTCATTATTCCTCACAGGATGGGAAGTAGGGGACATCAGTGGCATGGGCAAGATCCAGGTTTGGAATGAAAGAAAAGGCCCTGGTGCATGGGGTGACTCTGTGGAACTTGTTGCTGCAGGATGGTGGAGCTTCCACTGCGGTTCAGAGAGAGCAGAGAGAGAGATCAGACTGATGCAAAGACAATGGGGCACAGTGGCCTGGATGCTTCACCTAAACTGAACTGGTGATTTTCAGAAGCTGGAAAAACAAGGAAAAAGAATCTCTCCTTTTTCCCCTCCCTGCTCTCCCAAGCATTCTGTGCTGCTTTTTTTTGGAGCACATAATTTCAGATACTGAGTTAGAAAGATCTTCAAAACCCAATATGACATTTTCCATGTTTTTAAGTTTGTCTTATTTCACCTTTAGGACAAAATTCTTCAGGACGATCACTTCAGAACCAGCTATCTTTTCAAGTGAATATTTGCAAACTAAAATATCAATCTCATCACTTCTGTATACAGGTAGGAATTAGGCAGAATAAATAACTATGAAACATTGTTGAATGGTTTGCATTACTTGCAAAGTCTAGTGTCAGGAATGTAGGATTGTTTAGAATGTAGAATAAGGAAAATATAGTTAGGAATGTAAGGTCAGGGAAAGTGGCATATCTAGAAAGTAGCAGCCAATAGGAGAATGAAAAAAAAAAGAAACTAACAAATATTTAACCATGTGCCACAAACAGCAACTCACTTTCTGGCCCCAACTAATGTTCAGTTTATGCAGCAACTGCTACTCCTTGTAATTTTAAACTAGTTAATGTAACTACCAAATACATCCTTGCATGTCAGACACCGCAGACAGTCCAAAATGCAATTTGTAGACCACAGAGCTTTTCTGCAATGTGATGAAGCGGATTTCTCCTCATTTTCAGAGGCCAAATCAATGTACAATCCAGCTAAAATATTTTATTTAGTTTTTTTTTCTGTGTGGAAGAAGGCATGAAAACATTGTTTCAGCACAAATGGGAAGAGTGGTCCACATGCCCACAGCAGACAGAAGAGTGATGGAAACCTAACATCTCACTATGAAGAAAAGGTCCCAGAACATTCAAGGTATAAAGCAAGATGTGGAATCCAGGACTATCCTCAGATTTTTACCTACAGTTGGCTTCAGTTCTAGAAACAAGATGGAAAATTATTTTTTTTTTTAATTATAGAGTAATCACCAGAAAAGATTAAACGTGTTGTTTAAAGATGAAGTCTAATAGGCTATTTTCAGAATCTGCCAGTATCCAGTCTGTAAACAAATCCAGTGTGCTCAAAAGCTACAAAAGGGTGTTTTTACTCTCAATGCATTCAGTTAGTTAGAGCCCAGGAAGTGCATATCTTGGAGGAAGAGGGAGGAAGTAATATCTTTCCAACAGATCCTGACCTGTGTCTACATATTTTCAGGGTATTGTAAGAAGCTGCCCTTACAAAGCCAAATACTGACCTTTTAATCTGCCACAACTTCCCAGGAGGAAAAGAGCTTCTCTCTGCTTTAATAATGGTCAGAGCTGTCACTCTCCTTCCCAAAAGGAGCAAGCACAGCAAAAGAAACAAGCAAACATTCACTGCTTACTATGAGTTTCTTAAATTTGAATTCTCTGTCCCTGCAATGTCTCCATAAACAAATACCTCACAAGAAGCAGATAACAAGGAACAGTTCTGGCAGCGTGTGATTTTGACTTACATATGCTGTGAAGCGTTGGGGTAGAGCTCTGAGAACTGTGGTGCTGAATCCTCAGGGCCATGGGGCGCAGCGTGGCTGATGACCATCATTATGGGCCTATGGGGATATATCCTCTTAGACATTCTGAAGTAATTAATGCTCTCATTAGTGATTAGGTCTGTGAAGTAGTCCTGGAACATACGATTAACACAAAGTAAAAGTTACAAAGTGCATGATTAATTAGATCACATACTGTCATACTATTATGCTATTTTCAAGTCTTCATTAAAGCTTAGATCAGGAAGTAAAAACATACCATCAAAGAAATGCATGATTTGAGGGAGCACAGGAGAGACTGAGCAGCAATTATTTTCTTTAAGCAGGCAATGCCACATAAAATGAAGCAGTATTTTCCAAATCAGATACAACAGAAGGCATTAAGTAAATATGATTACAAGATTTTGTAATATAATGCTAAGAAACATTTAAAATGACAGACTATACTGACAAAGATATGTTTCTTGGATTTCACTGATAAAACACATTAACAAGGCAATGGCTCCTAACTGCAAGAAATCATAGACTTTTGAGTTGGTTTTCTGTTTATGTAAATATTTCTTGCGTGCTCTTTGTTCAGAGTGTACTTTTGCATATGTACAAAGTGGAAGAAAGCTACAACAGGCAACAGATTGCAAAAATCTTTATCAAAGAACTTGCAAATGCGAATGCAGGGAGTAGTTGAATTCCTGTAGGCTCTGTTCTTTTAATTGTGCAACTTTAGGCAGTGCAGCTGCTGAGATTAAGGTAGTGATTTGCTAATAAACTGGCTTAACCCACAGCCAAGGTGGCAAATGGAAGCCTACAAGGGGAAGGGAGGAAATGGAGCTAAAAAAAAAAAAGATGAAAACTTAAATTAAGCCACCTGCCACCTTGGAGCATTCACTGTTGGCCTGGAGGTCTAGTGCGAGCTTCATTGAGAAAGTGCTGAGACAATGTTTGTAATTTCAAGCACTTCCAGGCATGACTAATCATATGTTGTGGATTCGAGGCCCCGAACAGCTGCAAAAGCAGAGCCTGAGGTACAAGGTCTGTATCGCACGTCAGTGGTAGGACAAGCCAACCAGCTGTGACCTCCTCGCTCGCCTGCTCCCTGTCCCCCCTGCCCCTTCCCCTCTTCTGTAGCATGCTCGGAGCGCATAGGGTAGCCCTGGCTGCTACAAGCCTTGCAGGGGTAAGGGAGAGACAGTGAGTGACCTTTTGCTGTACCAAATGGGTAATGAGTGTGAGGCACAAGTGTTATAATTTCTGGTTTTGTAGCCTGTTCAAGTGAAATGCCTGTATCACTGCTCTCCCAAAGCATCCACTCCCCTCCTATTTGCCTATTTATTCTAGCTACCTACACAGAGTGTGTGAGGAATGTAGAACTAACCAATGTTCTTTATTTTATCTTTTTAAAATTCTATATAAATATATAATTAGTATCATGTAATTTCTATGGGTGGGGAAATCAGAAACAGGCATTGTGAGCTTCCAATAAAATCTCATTACATGGGTCAGAAACCACAGCTGCAACATCTGTATCATCTTCCGTGAGCTACAGTCTGAGGAAATTCCAGATTGCTTTCTGCAGGCTGGAAAGTCTGTGATCTGCGCTCCTAAGCCTTTCCAAGAAACTTGACAGCAGTGGGTAGGTCACCTTGGCATATTTTCCAAACTTTGTCAAGTGCACAAACAAGCTCTGGAGTTTTCCAACGGCTGTGTGTTGTGCTTATCTATTCTCATAGTCATATTCACTCTGACACCACAGGCGCACAGCCTTTTTTTTGTGTGTGTGAACTGTTTAATGGAAAACAGCATTAACCCGGGTTTCTTATGTGGGTAACAACTGACAACACTCAGATAACTAAAGTTCAGTAGTGCAAGGGCCACCATTATTTTGGGGAATGGCCTTTATTTACTATTTGCTTCTGCCACTGAACTATCCCTTTCTAGCAGAGAGAGGGAGGGAGGGAGGGAGAAATCACCAGACTGCACTGAAGAGCCCTTGGAAACTTTCTTCCATTGCACGATTAATAATTAATATTCTCACATGGAAATTGATCTGCTATGCCCTGGAGAGAAAATGACATCTCAATTTCTCAATTGTGATTGGTTAATTAATTAATTATCTGGTTAATTAATTATCTGAAAGTGATTTTTATATGGATAAAAGACGCAGCATTTATGTGTCTGGAAAATACCTTTGCATAATCAAATCCATGCTTCTCTTTGTTACCATTGCGAGAAATGGTGTAATTATAGAAGCGGGAGTTCTTCACTAATCCAACCCACTCTCTCCACCCAGGAGGGATGTAGCTGCCATTGTATTCATTGAGGTATTTCCCAAAAAAAGCTGTGAAGGTAAAAAAAAAAAAGAACAACAGAACAAAGAACACACACACACACATGAGGCTTTGCAATCCAAGTCTTTTAGTCTGAGTCAAAAGCATGCATGAATTAAGATAAAATGTGTTAGAATGAGTCAGAGTTGCTTTATCAAAAATGTTCCTTTTATACCTTAGAGAATTTTGAAATTAAAAGTTATTTCCAGAGTTTTTATGAGAGTTGAAAGCCTTCGTGACTTTAGGTTTTCTTCTTAATCTTTTGGAATCTAGTGCTCACATTACTTTTTTTTTTTTCTGTGTTTTTTTTTTTTTTTTGGAATGAGTATGTTTCTCTTGGTTTCCACTTGAAAATGGAATAATAACATCTGAGAAACACCTTGTGGTTTTAAGCAAGTCCTGTGATGTTATGGAGCTTGGCTTCTGACTTTTGAAAGTTTGGACTTGGCAATGTGGCTATGTTTGCTGATTTGATAAAAGGTCTGGAAAGTCCAGATCTCCATCCCACTGGACCATGTTTGGGTAGAGCAAGAGGGAATCCCTGCCCTGCTTTGCTGCCACAGCTTTTTAAAGGCAAAACTAATGAAGAGACAAAGACTTGGAGGTCAAGTACCTCTACCTGGCCTGCCAAACTAAGTGAATTTTTTTCCATTAGCTCCAGGTGACAAGTCAAAACTCTCTCAGACTGAAACTTTCAGGCTTTGCCATCAAGCTCAGAAGGGCTTGCCTGCCAATTCCTCTGGGAGGAAGTAAAAAGAAAAACAATCTCACCATGCAGTGGGCTCACAGCTATCTGTGAGTTGTGAATCACTTTTGCCATGGATGCACAGACACCAAAAGCTGGCTAGCTGTCTTTGGGAAGTGGGATTAATGCTGGCATGGCACCCTGACAAATGCAACCATCTTGCTTTTACAGACAGATGGGTATGTATGCTCTTTAGCTGCTTCTGTATGATCTTTGTCCTGGACAAAAAAAGTCAGATTGGATGGCTCTACTCTGTTTTTCTACTGCCTAGGAAGTGTGGTGACAAAACACCTGACTGGGCCTGCAACTTGGGTTTCTAGGGATTTATTAGCTCCAGCTCAGTCCCAGCAAGTTACTGGGGTGTCTGAGTAACTTCACTGTTTGCATTTTTAATTTCCTTGAGGTTTACAAGCCCCTGGAGAGTCTCCTGTGCCAGTAGTTCTGCTGCCCATGTCCCAGCAGTCAGCACAAAGGTACTGCCAGTGCTCACAAAATGAGACACTCCTGAAGAGGAGGGAATGACAGAGACTTCTCCCTTTCCAAGGACAGAGCTCCTCTGGGCAGTAGCTGCCCACCTCCCTACACCCTTCATGGTGCGCAGCCCCTGTCCTTGCTGCCAGCCCCGGCTTGGGCAGCCAAGCCTCCCTGCAGGGAGCTGCTGCCCAGCGTCACTTCCTTGGCTGGGCTTCAGGACACACGTCAAACCCCCGTACTTGTTTCCCACTAGGAAATGAAATCACTTTGGAAAACCTCACGTTCAACCTAGGCACATTCAATCTAACCAAAAAAGCACATTTGAGGAAGGGCTTAAATAATTCAGATCTGACTGATGTGGGCATGGTGAACTTCCTGGGAAAGCGGGTGGAAAAATAAAAATGTTCATAATAAAGACTTGCCTAAGGCAACATAAATATGGTGCAATTGAATCATATAACTGCCAAATGTCACTAACCAGAGGTTACAGTCATAGATAATGTTACTTTCCTATACCACGTGGAATGTGACATATAAACAAGTCCTACAGACACTGGACCGGGCTTCCAGATATTCCTTCCACAACCACTAAGAAACCAGCCCAGTCTCTCTCCTTTTTTCTCCTGAGGCCAACCAGAAAACAAGAAGCTTGAGGTGAAGAGGGTGACCGTGGAGAGGGAATACGTGCCCAGCACCACTGCCTCCCGGAACAGAAACCATATCTCTCCATAGAGCAGCCAAACTGGGTTAAACATCTTAGGGAGTCAGATGTCCAGGAATAGTGTAAGGGTAAAGGCCTAAATACTGTGGGAAGGGAAGCCAACGAAAGAGAAGAAGGGGAAGAGAAATCAGAGAGAGACAACAGTGAAGAAAAGTATGTGAAAGTGAGAGAGTGATGTGACCGAGAGAGAAGAAGCATTACTGAGCCAAGCAAAATCAAGGACAGTCTGTGGTTACAGGGGAGATCTGAGGTCAGCCCTCCTGAATGTCATCCCAGATCCACAAGCAGCAACTGCATGACCTTGGGGAAGCTCTGTGTACTGTCTCATTTATAAAGGACTCTACTGCCAACCTACCTCCCACAAAGATCAGAGGCTTTCAAGCTGTGAAATGGAAGTTATGGCAATTTATCATGTAGGATGGTTTGATAGCCCCACCTGTAATTAAGATTGACTAATACTGAGACCTGAACTCTGCTATTTATGGTTTTGCCAAACTTCAGTCATTATAGTGACGACAGTTTCCACGCTATCTGACTCAGTCTGGATTTTGGTCTATGGAACATTTTAGACAAACAGTTTGGCAATTTCCAAGAAAAAGGCCAGGGAAAAATAAATGGGTTTGCCCATTTAAAAATCATTGGCAAGCTTTTCTCTAAGAAGCTCTAGTGTCTCTTGGTTTTGATGTAGTGCCTTTGTAAATAATAGAGGTGGCTATGAAAATCTGTCTCAAACTAGCCAAGCCCTGAAAAACTGTAGCACACAGATGATCGGAAAAGACTTATTACAGATTCTCAGTTTAATGTCACTACAGGGTGTTCCTTTATGGACCTAAAAAGGTACCAGCAATTTCAGTTTTGGCACTAAACCAGAAAACAGTCAGCTGCTTTCTCTCCTCTTCTGTCTCATTTGATATTAAGGCATTACCTGAGAGAAAGCCACCAGCATAAAATGCAGAGGTGAAATTACCTGGGGCATAAGAAAGAGAAAATATAAACTGAATTTAGAAAAGGAAAGGGGGGCTTGGAGCTAGTGGGGGCCAGTTCATCTTGGAATTTCCTTGCTTTAGATTACTTTATTTTCTAATAGTGTTTTGTTAGCTCCCCTTTGGCTCCCCAAACCCCAGGTTTCAGTGCATGTTATAAGACTTTGGATTGGCAGCCTGAACCATTCACCTTTGTGTTGGCAATGATTTAGTATTTTATCATAAAAATAATCTGAGAGCTGTCAAGTTTTAAGCAGCTCCTTGACTGACAGTTTGCAGAAATAGATGTTTCTCCTTGTTGTAGAATAATACAGTTCCCATGTCAAATGTATAGCAAAGCCCTGAATACAAGTAGAAGTAGTGGTAATCGTGATAATGGATCACATTTGCCCAATTGCTTTAACCAAGAGTGGTTTGTTGGTCAAAAGCTCAGGAAGATATGAATAATTAGACAGATGAAGGGAAAAGCCAGGCTTTTACTGAAACACAGGAGTTCAGTCCCTTCACCATGGGATTTTCTGAGTACCACTGTGTATAGGATAGGGCAAGTGAGTCAGAGCTGGAGCCCAGCACCAGCAGTTAGTGTCTGGCTCTTCATGCTCTGCATGAAGACAAGTGCCAGAGCAAAAGGAAAGCACAGTAGTGTCCATGGATCCAAATAACAATCAGCAAGTAATCACCACAGGTGTCCTAGTTGTTTTTGTTAACCAGAGGATAAAAAAATTAAAGTGCTACGGAACATCTCACAGAACTGCCCGGAAGCTGACATGGTGATATGCAAATCTTCTTCAAATGCTCATCTTGTAGCGTCAGCCCACATCCTTAACTTAGCTGTAGCCCTACACTTGCTGAATTGCCCAAGTCTGACTAATGGGAATGCTCAGCTTTAGAAGCTGCTTGCACTCAGTAGTTACAGGGTTTAGTAAGCCATTTCTGCTTGTAATTAATAAAACAGAGATTTTGACTCAATGGGAAAAAACCTCATTAAAAAGTAATGCCATTTCAAGGGACATCTTTTCATTATTGCATGTAATGGCCCCTACAGGGATAACAGGAAAGATAAATGCAGATTTTTGCATTTTAATAAGACAGTTTTTATCTGCGTTCTGGTAGTTTTGCTAACTGTTCCCAGGACACATTGTTATCTTTTAATCACATATAGAGTAGCTTAGTATATCAGAATAATTGTATTCTGTGTGAGTATGTTCAATTAAGTTTATGCAAACAACACCACATGGTATGGTGAATAGTTATAGAGACATCTATGTGTCTCAGGAGTAGCTGCAGAATATACCTCTTTGGTACCTAACATGAAAAGATGCCTTAATATAGATTTTTGTTTTCCTTTTAGCAACTAAATGAGACTTGAACTAGTGTGTTGGGTTTGTGGGGGTGGGGACTGGTTTTGGTAGTGGAGGCTAAAATGATGGCCCCTGTGAGAAGCTTCAAGAAGCTCCCTTGGCTCCAAGGTGGACCTGCCTCCAGCCCAAGCTGAGCCAATTAGTAATAGGGAAACACCTCTGCAAATCCATATTTATGAGGGAAAGAAGTGGTTTGGCAAAGGAAGGAGAGTGACCAGGAAGCATCAAAAAAAGACCATCAACAACCAGAGGAGAGAGATGGGTGGAGGTGAGACAAAGGACTATAGACACCCAGGTCAACGAGGAAAGGGGGGGGGGAGGTAAATGGAATCCCCCTGCAGCCCATGGAGGTTAATGGTGGAACAGATATCCATTCATAGCCTATGGAGGCCTCCATGCTGGAGTGGGAGGCTGTGCCTGAAGGTAGCTGTGACTATGTGAAGAGCTCACAACAGAGCAGAAGACCCCAGAGACACTCGTGCCAGAGCTGTCAGGGAGAAGATCAGCCAGAGTGAAGACCCATGTCCAGCCCATGGAGGTCCCCATGTCGGAGCCGGGGGGGCTAAAGTCTGTGACTCTGTGTGAAGCCCGTGTTGGAACACTTTGTTCCTGGAAACTTTTGGACTGTGGGAGTGATTCCATATGGGAAGAGAGCGGCAAAGATGAACTGACTGCAACCCCAATTCCCTGTCCCCTGTGCCGCTCTGGGGGAGAAGGTAGAGAAATC